TTCCCTTCGAGCCAGTGCCCCACAGCAGGCTGCCCGGCCCCATGCAGGGCCAGCCCCCCGGCCCCCAGCAGCCCGTCCCGCAGCGCAGGGCGCACCCGGGCACGGCCAGCGACACCCCCCCCTCCAGGAGCAAAGGAGGGAGGCTGCCTGGATCCATCCCAGCAGGGTGAGAACAGGCAAAGGAACAAAGGCACAGGGAGCAATCCAGCTGCTTGCGAGAACCCCTGGGCACTAAGGAGCACGGCAGCAGGGACGGGCAGGAGCAGCAGCAGCGCAGCGGGTCCCGCCACCCGGGCTGGCTCGGCCCCTCGGGGAACAAGCGGGTTCCAGCTCAGCAGACGCCAGAGGTGACACGGCAAGCCCGGGCTCTCACCTACCACACCGAGGGCCCGTCGCCCGGCTGCTCCGCTCGGCTCGCAGCTGCCCCAGCCACAAGTGTCCCTGGAGCAGAGCTGGGCTGTGATCCTGCTCCCTGCTGGCAGCAGCAACCGGGCTATGCTGGCGTTCTACTTGTGCTCCGCATATCCCTGCTGCTTCCAAAGGAGGAGAAGAGTAGGATTCCCAACATGCTCAGGAGTCATTTTCATTGCTGTGCCCTGCTGCCTCAGCACCCAGAGCAGAAGGAGAACCGGGCAGGCACTGTCAGCCTGATGGCTCAGGGTTTAATCAAGTAAACCATGCAAGAAGAGGAGGAGAGTTGTTTTCTCCAATCCCTTACTCTCCCCTCCCTCCTGGAAAAAACAGATCAAGCAGTAGGAAAACCTTTGCCCTAAGAACTACAAAAGCAGTGGTTTCTCTACCTTCCTTCTCCCAGCCCAGAACAAAGCTTTGCTCTGTAGCTATTCCCAGAGGCCATGACATGCCACGCTCAAGCCAGGTAAAAACCTGGAGCCCCCCGAAGCCAACAGCCACTGATGGATCAGGCATCCCCTGGAGAGACTCATCATCTCAGGTTGTTTCTGGTGTGGGGAGAAGGTACAACCAAAACCTTCTCCAAGTTCTTCTTTAAAGTAGATGCCTTATCTGACTACATTTATCCCAAGAGAGGCTACAGACTCTTGACCAAACACAGCTTTAGTGACATGCATAACTGAGGCATCTACAACTCAGACAGACTGTTGCTTTCAAAGGGAAACAGGCAAGAGGAGCTCTATTCTGGTGCCAAAAACTAGTAACTGGAGGTTTTGCCACCATGCCTGAACCAGCTCTGGTGCTGGGCTATCAAAGAGCTCATAGACCAGGAGGTGGCAACTTCCCTCACAGAAAGGGTCCCAGCAAGGCTCCTGCACGGTGCCACCACACCCCTGCACCCTTAGTTCTTGTCTTCAAACCTAGAGCTGAGAGCAGCACTGACAGGACGTGATGCAGATGGTTCTGCACCATTCTTACTGCTTCCTGAGCTCACTGCTCTCAGAAGTCATTCAGACCAATCCCCACTTGCTGAAAGTGCTGGGTCTCACCTTTCACTAATCACAGCAAGAAAATTAAGTGTTGAGTTAATGCTGCTGGATGTGTTGTCCAAGAGAGGCAAAAGCATTAGCATGGCTCTGGCACACACACAGAAAAGGAAAAGATTGTTCTGGGAATATTGATGGTTTGAGTAGGGAATATTCCAGCCTGCTAGTCCCACCACAGAAACATAAGGAAGTACACACCAGCCACCGCAGTTCCAGACACTTCTGCACCCTCTTCGCAGCAGGGCAGTGATGATCTGGTGCAGTCACACCAAAGGTTACCACACTCACCTAACAACAGCTAGGACCTGCTGACACATAACCTGAACCTGAGATGCAGACCTTGCCTCTAAGTGTTCCGGGACTAATTCAGGTCCCCAGACTACCCTGCAGTAGTGATAAGAAATGAGACAGTAAGCTGTTTTCCAGCTCCCCATCAGATCATTCTGACACTGTTCAGATAAAGACATTCACAGAGTAAAGAGACTCATTATTTGTGCCCCACCTCTGAGGTACCAGAAATGTGAGAAGAAGGCACGATCAGGTCTTCTACTAACTTTGTACTCAGAGTGGCATTAGCCACTAAGAGTGGATTTGGGTGATGCCTTTAGTTTCATTTTTTTAAAACCTAGTCTGTTCTAGAAACATATGCACGATTTGAAAGCCCAGTCCCTGCAGCAGAAGGCTGAAGGAAAAGCCCTGCAGCAATGATCACACTGCTGGTGGCAGCAGCTGCTGGTGGCAGCTCTGGGAGTGCAGAGCACCCCGGGGGGCACCCGAGGGGAAGAGGGCACCGAGAGGCTGCAAGGACTTCCAGTGCCTGATCTAAGCCAGGTCAAGCATCTGCACAATCATAAGCCTTCAGAATACACAAAGCTGGCGTTTTAAAATACCAGTGCTAGCAATGTGTTGTTGAACTACCTGAAACTGCTGTGGGTGCTAAAAACAAAAACAAAAAAATCAAACCCAACCCCAAAAGTTTAGGCCTTGCTCAGGGAACCACCTTTGCCCAAAGAGTTACTCCATTGTCACATGGGCTGTTTGTATTGAGGTTAATTACACACTTACATTCAGAAGGTGAAAGTTGTACTCTTATCTCAGACACTTAATTGCTTCAGAAGAAAAAGAACGCCCATTCCAGAGTTAATAATTAAAAGCTATTTGGACTTGGAGAATCCGAGAAGGCTTTCCACATTCTCCTAACACAGAAGTTCAGTGTGTTCACAAGCAGGAAGCTGAAGCCAAGCGTTTAAACACAGACCCTGCCTGCTCAGGCAGCACTGCTGGCAATTCTGAAACTATCAACATCTCCAAACCCAGACGGGGATTGGCAATGCTGGGAACACCCCGCGTTTCCTGACCAGGAGCTCCTTCTGCTGGGCTGACCACTGCTGTATCTGAGCAAGTGTTCTGCTGCTCACAGAGCAGCTGCAGCAGGAAGATCAATTCTTGCCTCAGGAGACGGTTTTTATGAGGTTTTTTAACGAGATTTACGAGATTGTTAAGCATGAGCCTCAGACTGTCTCTCAGACAGTAACTGTTGCTGAAGGTTTATTAGCAGCTCGGCCCGCCCTGGCCCCGGGGCCGCAGACCCACCCAGCGCTCCCAGAGC